AAAGGTGCCACAGGACCCTCTGTTGCTTTTTACAGATTCAGACTAACACGGCTACCCCTCTGATACTTAAGGATGGAGATTCCATCACCTCCCTCAGTCACCCATTCCAGTGCTTCACCACCCTCCTAATGAAATAATTTTTCCTAATATCCAACCTAGACCTCCCCCACTGCAACTTGAGACCATTGCTCCTTGTTCTGTAATCTGCCACCACTGAGAACAGCCGAGCTCCATCCTCTTTGGAACCCCCCTTCATGTAATTGAAGGCTGCTATGATGGGGGCTGATTCTAGTGATTCAGTTTCTTCGTTACCTAAACAAGCTTTTAACGGCTTCTGTATATTGGTCCTAAGCACAAGACACCTGTTAGCTCCACCCACTTTAAGGAGGTTAAGGACCCATGACTGAATTTGTTTTATTGTCGAGTCTGCAGCACCTGTATCCCCTTGTATTACACAGAACCATCACTGTGTTGCTGGGGCCCACAATGTTGCAATAGATGAACCAGGGAGGCAGAAGATCCATGTATGTCACCAAATCCCCCACCCAGAATACAATCATGATATGGATGAAAATGACATCATACTACCGCATTTACCACACCTTTGCATCACTTGGCTCCCAGTGATGTCAGACTGTTACAGGTACTATCACATCACCTCACCCCCAGCGACCTCATATTTCTGCAGGTACCATCCCCATCCCATCACCATGGCCCCGTTACCTCACACTGCTAAAGGTACCGCCCCTGTTCCATCACCCTGCCCCATTGGGCATGTGGCATCAGAATGTTGCACAGTTGTCATGGGGATGCCCCACCTGGTCCCATCTGGCCCCATCCCCCTAGGACAGGATCTATCCCCCAAGAGGAGTTTGATTTCCCTTTTCTCTCTCTCCCCCCATTACAGCTGAGGCACAAGGCTGAGATGACCCAGGCTGTGGGTACAATCCCCCTGCCCCAGAGAGCGGTGACAGAGGGGGCTGTGTGCAGTGTGGCTGGCTGGGTCCTGACTAGTATGAAGGCAAATGTCCAGCCATCCCCGATGCTGCAGGAGGTGGAACTGAAAATCATGGGCAAGGGCATGTGTCTGTCTCGGCCCTATCTGCACTATGGCCCATCCAGGATGCTGTGCGTGGAGGACCCCCAGAAGAGGAGGGCGTCATTCCGGGTGAGTGTGAGACAGGGGCACGCGGTGCCTGGGACAAGGTGCTGCTAGAACAGGAGACCAACAGGGCTGGGCAGAATGGGGCTAGCCAGGATCCATGGTGAGCCAGACAGATCCTTTGAACCAGGAATCAGAACTGACTAGATCCTAGGACTCAAGGACAGAGGCTAGAAATCAGGGACACAAACCAGGCAGATCTTACAAATGAGGAATGGATCCTAATAATTTGGGACAGGAACTGGCCAGATAATTGAAATTAGGGATAGAAATCAGCTGGATGCTCAACAGGTTCTAGAAATCAGGGACAAGAATCAGCTACATCCTGGAAATCAGGGAAAGATCTTAATAGTGAGGGACAGATTCTAGAAATCAAGGTTGGGAATCAGCCAGATCCTAGGAGTCAGAGAGGGGAATTGCTGAATCAAGAACCCAGGGGTGGATCTGAGAAATCAGCATTGGAGCCTAGAAATCAAGGGCAGGAGTCAGTCAGATGCTGGAAATCAGGATTTTGAATCAGTGACAGGAATTGATCAGACTAAAGAAATTGGGAATGGATGCTAGAAATCAGACAGTGTAACTGGCCAGATCCTAGAAATCAGGGACAGGGGTTGGTTGGATTCCTGGACCATGGAACGGGAGCCTTGGGTGAGTCCTGGGAGTGACTTGACCGTGTGGCCCCAGGAAGAGGGTTCAGAGCTGCATTTCAGAACCATGAAGAAAGAATGCAGCCTGCTCTTTGCTTCAACATCAGTAACCCTGTGCCTCTTGTTTGCTTCTCAGGAAAACTCTGAGGGCCCCTGGTCTGTGAAGGGAAGGCACAGAACATTGTCTCCCATGGCAGAGGTGATAAGTCAGCACCCAGGGTGTTCATCAAAGTCTCCAAATATGCCTGCTGGATCAAGGAAACTCATCACAAGCTGACATCTTAGAGGGAAGCATTCATCTCCTCTAGTGTGAGTGGTGAGATAGCTGGATATTGCAGAGGGATGCCTGGCTGGGTATTGCAGATGGATGGATGGATGTGTACCCAATGATTTTGGTTGATTGTTCATTTATTGTGGGTTGTTATGATTAACTAACATGTGATGTCATATATAATCATGGTATGGTAAATAGAGTTAATTTGTAGGGTTAGAGAAGTATAAGATTGATCAGTAGTTAGAAGGGATAATTAGGTATTAGGTGTCTATGTAAGGAGGGGAGAAATGCAAGGCCTACAGCCTGAGGCCTGTAAGATTTTAGCTTAGCCATACTATGCCATAGGTTTAAGAAATGTTTGACATAAGTAGGGTTACCATACGTCTGGTTTTTCCTGGACATGTCCGGCTTTTTGGTAATCAAACCCCCATCCGGGGGGAATTTCCAAAAAGCCGAACATGTCCGGGAAAAATACTCTCCCAGCTTCCAGCATCCCTGGCTTACCTTAGAGCGGGCTCCGGCGGCTGCTGTGCTCCCTGATTCCTGGGCTCTGTAAGAGCCGAGCTGCCCGAGCGCTACCGGCTTCGGGCAGCCCCCATGCATCTGGACCCTGCACCCCCAGAGCCCAGGAGGGGAAGTGCCCGGCGGGCGGCGCAGGGTCCGGAGGCATCGGGGCTGCCCTAAGCTGGTAGCGCTCAGGCAGCTCTGCTCTTAAAGAGACCACCCTAGCTTAACCAGGAGATCTTGAATGGTCTAAAAAACAAGAAAGAGTGCTACAAAAAGTGGAAACAAGGTCAAATTACAAAGGAGGAATATAAACAAATAACACATGTATGTAGGGGCAAAATTAGAAAGGCCAAGGCACAAAATGAGATCAAACTAGCTAGAGACATAAAGGGTAACAAGAAAACCATTAGAAGCAAGAGGAAGACCAAGGACAGGGATGACCTGTTACTAAATTAAAAGGGAAAAACAAAAACAGAAAATGTGGAAATGGCAGAGGTGCTTAATGACTTCTTTGTTTCATTTTTCACCAAGAAGGTTGGTGGCATATGGACGCCTAACATAGAGAAAGCCAGTGAAAATGGGGTAGGTTCAGATGCTAAAATAGGGAAAGAACAAATAACAAAAATTACTTAGACAAGTTAGATGTCTTCAAGTCAGCAGGGCCTGATGAAATGCAAGCTAGAGTACTGAAGGAACTGACCGAAGAGCCATTAGCTATGGGAGATTCCAGAAGACTGGAAAAGAGCACATATAGTGCCTATTTATAAAAAGGGAAATAAGGGCAACCCAGGCAATTACAAACTAGTCAGCTTAACTTCTATACCAGGAAAGATAATGGAGCACATAACACTGGTCTACAATTTTTGAGAAGTCGTCTCCTTCAGAGATAAAATGTGCTATTTATTATGTATTTTAATGTGCTGAATTCAAATATGACAAAACAACTGATTGGCTACTGTTTCTAAGATATTTAAGTTTTTACATTTTATGTCTATGTATATTGTTTAGATAGTAGAGTTTTAATCATAAATTGTAAACCTAGGTCTTTTCATGTGTTTATGGTTGCTTTACATGATGATTGCATCCATGACTTCTAGGAATAACATGATGCAATTCACATCATGTATGACACAATACCAGCTTCAGATTGCATCATTCATTGTTTTGCCTAAAAAGCAAGTACTGTCCAAACCCAGTCATAGATTTATTCATAGATCCAGTCAACGATGTATTTTAGTCATTTCTGGTTTAAATTGAGATCCCTTCCCTTTATAACTCACTTATCCTCCGCCATTCCCAAGTCAAGGGTTGTATATACTGACCCAATAGCATATCTTGAAAACTAGAGCCAATCAACAACTTTAATCATCATTTTCATTCTCAGTGACCCAGAATTAGTAAAGTTTGACTACATTTATTTCAGAAGCATTTTGGCTGTAGAGCAGTGTTGTTAACAATGAGGGTAATTAACCATTGGAACAATTTACCAAGAGTTGTGGTGGATTCTCTATCCCTGGCAATTGTTAAATCAAGGTTGGATGCTTGTCGAACAGCTCTGCTCTAGCATTATTGTGAGGCAGGTCTCTGGCCTGTGTGAGACAGGAGCTCAGCCGAGATGATCACAATGGTCCCTTCTGGCCTGGGAATCTGTGAAGCCATGAATCCTTCTCCACTGTCCCTTGCCCTGTGTGTGTATGTGAGTAAGGGGAGCAGATACTCCCATCTGTGATAGCATTGTTTCTCACAGACCCCTTCATGGGAGTGGGAAAATAAAGTGTTTGATTTTCAACCCTCCAAAGCCAGCCAGTCCCCACACCACATAGAGATAAAGAGATGAAACCTGGTTCTGACATCACATTGTGGGGGGAAGGGGGAAGTATAGAGATATCGATAGACAGAGGCTTGTGTACATGGGGTTAGTATGGAGAGAAACAGACAGATATGGATGTGTAGATAGATAGATAGGGATTGGCTAGGGCAGACGTGGGCAAACTATGGCCCGTGGGCCACATCCGGCCCGTGGGACTGTCCTACCCGGCCCCTGAGCTCCCGGCCAGAGAGCCTAGTCCCCGGCCCCTCCCCCGCTGTCCCCCCTCCACTGCAGCCACGCCACCGCACGGGCTGCACTGTGGCCTGCCGCTCCTGCTGGGCAGCGTGGAAAGCGCAGCTGGCTCTGGCTGGCTGTCATGGCTGCAAGCTCCTGCTGCTGTTAAGGGGGTGGGGAGTGTTTGTGGGGGGTTGGGTACGGGAGCGGGGAGTCCTGGTGGGCAGTCAGGGAGCAGGGGGCGGTTGTATCGGGCAGAAGTTCGGGGGGGCGGTCAGGGGATGGGGAACAGGGAGGGTTGGGAGTGTGAGTCCCGGGGGGCCTGTCAGGGGGCGGGAGTGTGGATAGAGATCAGAAGGACAATCAGGGACAAGGAGTGGGGGGGTTGGATACGGGGGTGGGATCCCAGGGGGCAGTTAGGGTGGGGGTCCTGGGAAGGGGTAGTTGGGGAGCAGAGGGTGGTTGGATAGGGGTTGGGGCTGTCAGGGGGCAGGGGTGTGGATAGGGGGTCGGGGCAGTCAGGGGACAGGGAGAAGGGGGGTTGGATAGGGGGGCAGGGTCCTAGGAGGGGGCGGTCAGGGGACAAGGAGCAGGGGGGGTTGGATGGGTTGGGGGTTCTGGGGGGCAGTCAGGTGGTGGGAAGTGGGAGAGGGCAGATAGGGGGCGGGGGCAGGCTGTTTGGGGAGGCACAGCCTTCCCTACCTGGCCCTCCATACAGTTGTGCAACCCTGATGTGGCCCTCGGGCTAAAAAGTTTGCCCACCCCTGGGCTAGAGACATAGATAGATGGGGATAGGATATATAGATGGGGATGGATGCATGGGGATAGATCGATGGATGAATGGATGTGGATGGGAAAAGGCAGAACAATTTTTTGTGGCTAGAACTGTTTCAAACCTTTCCCACTTTTGTCCCAGAATTTGAACCTCTGGAATCTGGATAGTTGATTGCTCAAGCTGCTTTTCACCTTGCAGTTCCCTTTGCATCTCTATCTCAGCAGGCAGGGACTCCTCCAGCCCTGAGGGGGTTAATTCTCCACTGGCACCCACCAGATCCTCATTCTGCATGAAATTACTGGATCTAGATATCCTGGGTTCCAGCCTAGCGCATTAACACAAGCCCACCTTCCCCCGTAGGGGATAATTCCCTCCTGAGCCCTGGCAGATGCAGCAACTCCTCTGGATGTCACAGCTCGGGTTGATGCTTCAGTACCTGAAACACTTTTTTTGTAACTTCATTTTATTCATTGCTGGCTACAAAGCAGCGAGCGAAATGCAGCAGGCCACACAGCAGGGTGGGCCAGGAGAGATGGGAAGGGATGATCAGCGCTGGGGATTGATCTGCAATCAGTTTGGCGTAGCCTTCACTGTGTTCCCTTCCTGCTGGCCTTGCCAACACTGGGAACAGGTGTGTTTGGAATGGGTGATGGCCACTCCAGTGAACTAACCCATGGGAAAGGCCCAGTGAGGACAGGGCACGGTGCAGTTTTAACACGACTTAGCAAGTAAGGTAACAACGAGGATCTCCCATAAAAGGTCGCTCAACGCAGGGGAGAGCTATAAACAACTGGGTCTGCCCCAAAGTTTGGCTCATGTCCGTTACCCTGGGAAAAATAAACCAGCTGATTCCCTAGTGATGAGGCAGCCTAAGGGTTGGGATTCCCAAGGGAGCCAATGGGAGCTAGCCTTGAAGCTAGATCTTAATTATCCTAACTCCCCTAGCTCCCTGCCTTGATACTCATGGGATGGGCACTACCTAGCGGAGCGATGGCTGGGGGTCCTCATACTCAGGGGACTCAGCCCCTCTGCAAAGCACCCCCTGCATCTGGGCCAATGCAAGGGACAGAAGCAGCGCAGCTCCAGAACCTACAGCAATTCCCAGTGCGGCTCAGGGCTGCAGCCTCCTCATCGTTTTCTGTATCCAGGGGATGAAGGTGGAGACTCTTGTGTACACTCCGGGGGGGTGTCCATTGCTGGGTCCCCCAGAAACGATGCCCTGGGCTGTTTTCCCACACACCAGGGGGCCCCCCGAGTCACCCTGTGAAATGAAACAAGCCACAGATGGAGAACAGCTCAGAGAGGTGTTTCCTGCTGTGCTTCACTCAGTGACACCCCCCTGCTATCCAGATGGTCTCTGCTTGGGCCCCCACAGCCCAGCCTGTTTCAACAAACCCCCAACTCCTCCCAGTCGGTCTCTGCCCCCACGCCCCCC